GGCTGTGTTTGGCTTGTGCTGGATCTGCCCATGATCTGTCTCCTTGACAGTGTCAGCCAATCCAACCCTTTCCTATGTGAAAGCATTGTGATTGGCTCTGAGAATCACTTCTAATGATGTCAGTCAAGCCGGCAGATCAGGGGCAGAGCCAGCAACTGCAGACATGAATATAAGTAAGATTTTACTATATTTATGGGGCAAGATGTGGCCAGGGAGTCCAGATGGTGGTTTTAACACTATGGGGTCAGGAATACATGTTTATTTTCCTGACCCTGTAGAGTTCCTTTAAGGGAAATTAAAAAAAAAAAAACATTCTGTAGATGAATCTGGGTTCAAAGCCAGTTCATTGAAGAGAGATGAACCTCAATTGAATGTTGGTTGAGTGCTCTTAAATTCGGCATTGGGGCCCAAAGAAATGTGAAATGTGAATCAAATTAAAAAGTTTGCAACTGTAAACACAAAGTTTACAGCGCACAAAGGAACTGATAGTGCAGGTATTTATAGTAGAACGTGACAGTTGTCAGTGCCATCCTATAGATATAGATATACACACATTATCACCTTACGTATACAATTACAATAAACTATTTGTATTATGTCTACTACTGAAGTGGGGTTTCTGATTCCTTGTTTCCTGCAGTACTTATTGACGGGAGGGCTGGCAAGTGGGGCATGGGATTATTTGTTCCTTGGGCCACTAGTATGGAGAGATTTGTAGGCTGTTGTTAATACTGGATACATTATGCAACTATATCACTGCATTAGTATTAATATAAATTGAGAAAGGATGTTGGATGTAAAATTGTGCTGGTTTGGCTTCAAGTTGAACTACTTGTTTGTAATTGTCACCCAGGCCTAATGTAGCCACCCTTCTACTGCACTTCTACTACTAGCTAGAAATATATACTATGCAGAATATTGATATAGTAGCACGTATAGTAACACATCCATAGTTTCCCTGTTACATACTTTTTAAATACATTACACTGCTTTCTTTACCAGACTTTTTGATTATTCTATATCTCTTATTCATTAACTAACCATATTTTTCTCTTTCTTCTGTTCCGTTTTCTTCCCCAGGGGTTTAGCAACCCATACACTTAGTATGTAGACTACAACTTTGTATGTCCTTATGGTTTCTGGTCAGTTCTTCCTTTTTGAGTACCAGAGAAGAGAGATATTTCCATACATCAACATGTCATGGTATGTTTTTTATTATTATTATAATTTTTTTTTATTTTTGCTTTGGGTTTTGATATCAAGCTTAATAAGATAAATAATTATATATTGAAAAATTATATTATTATATATTATATTATTACAACTATAAAGAAACATGACTGTTGTGAATCACCTGCATACCTCAAGTATACCTCAAATATGTTTTTCATATTTACTTGTTGTGTTTGTGCTTGTTGCTTGATGACTTTCTATTTTCTATCTTAATCAAAAAAATCTTTATTGCAAGTCCATATTCTTTTTGATATATGAATTTATAAGGTCTATCGTATAACTTCTCCACACTACAGAACTCAGCAAATCTTTTTACTATCAATTTAGTAACATTTAGTACTGTGCCTTTAGAATTGTACCAATTTTGCTTTGACAATAGCTCACCCACCCAATCTATGCAACATTTTGCTACTAATTGTTCAAAACAAATTTGTTGATGTCAAACAGTAATATGACTGCCTACCACCATCAGACTCTACCCTAGTCTTCAATCCATCTCTTTAGGAAAGCTTATGGCCTCCCAGAGTAACTCTACCTCACATACCTGTCTCTTACTCTCTCCTATAGGGCAGCACTTTACTCTCTCCTCTAGTTCTGCTTCACTCCCACCTTATTTGATTGCTATTTCCTGTCCTAATGTGTTTTATACCCCACCTCCTATCGACTGTAAGCTCGTTGAGCAGGGTCCTCTTAAAACCTTTTGTTCCTGTAAGTTTTCTTGTAATTGTCCTATTTATAGTTAAATCACCCCGGCCCTCATAATATTGTAAAGCACTACGGAATCTGTTGGCGCTATATAAATGACAATAATAATAATAATAATAATGACATTAAATGGTTAATATAATCAGTGTAATATGTATATTGCCAAACATTGAATGGAAGTGTTAGTTGTTAGGTGTTATGTACATTGTTAACCAACTTCCATGATGCTTTGCAAGGCAATAAGCAAAGCATAATTATGAATTATGTTTTTATAACAGCTGGAAGGCTAGCCCCACTTTAGTAGAACTAACGAGTATATATTATCATTATTTTGTTTACTTGCGTATGCTACATTTTATTTTTCTGTTTTTAAAGATTATTTTCTTTCATTCCAAAGTAAAATATCCGGCTGTAGTTCAAACTACATTGTGTCAAGGCTTTCTATATTTATCTCCTAAATGCTTGTGCTGTGGAGATAATAAAAGAAAATTGAGAATCTGATGTACAGTTTCTATTTTTTTTCCTGGCTAAATTACAGTCCCTTGGTTTTCATTCAGGCATTACATTATGTGATCCAGTCCATTAGACATCTCTAGTATTTTTCATTTTTTTTGCATAGTGACAGATAAAGGCTTTTGGTTTTCAATTAGATTAAAGCAATCAGGACAGCTCATTTAGAACACTGTTTTAGGGAAATGATTATAAAAGATTTTTTTTTTTCAAAAACAAAAACGTGTTATTATTTTCGACACAGACAACACGGATCTTTGCATTTTAAAACAAATATGGTTATAATATAAGCAATACAAATTCAATCATATAAATGCTATGCACCATTATATAAATATATCAGCACACCAGTAACTTTATGGTGTAAATTTAAATATCTCCACTAGGTAGCAGTAATAAGCAGCTGGAGAGGACATATTGCATAGGAAAGTGTCAAATGCAATATAGTTGTATCTAAATAATTACATTTTTACCTTTAATAATGATGACTGCAGAATAATTATCTAAAGAACGCTCAATTTTTTCCATTACTTTTGTGTTTTGGCATCAAGGACTTTGCTTAAAAATACATTTGTAAATGTGGCTCAGAGTAGTGCTAGTGGATTAGGTGATGTGGTGGCATTGCCTAGGGATAGGCAACCTTCAGCACTCCAGATGTTGTGGACTACATCCCTCATAATGCTCTTACACTCATAATGCTGGCAAAGCATTATGGGAGGTGTAGTCCAACACATCTGGAGTGCCGAAGGTTGCCTATGTCTGGCCTAGATAATGCTTAGGTCGTAAAATTAATAGCCAGCTGGTATGACATGGTTTGCTCAAAACCCACAGAGAGATTTCTATGCTCTTTTGTATCAGTATATCTCATTCTACGTCCCTCTCTATCTTTAACCATGCCTATTACTATTTGCTAAATATGTAAAGTGTTATAATTAGGAGTTTTATATAAAAATATTACTATATAATACATAAATAAAATAAGAAAACTCAATTGCTATTAATGAGGTACTAGGCCCGATTAAAAGGCCAACACTTGGATTCTGGAAAAAAGTGAATAAAAGATCAAGGGTTCTTGTAAAATTTTTTAGCAATATGAAATTTAGTGGTGAATATTTATTTATATAGGTTTAACAGTCTCTTCTAAAATTACAGATATTTATTGTGAAAAACGTACAGGCTGGGAAACAAGTACATATGATGTACAAAAGTGTATAGCAAAAAGGCGTGCTAAAAAAAGGCACTTAATAAAACAATAAGTGAAAGAGGAGCAGCTGTGGATCCCAAAGTCCACATTGAAACAAAAAATTAACAAACTTCAACTCAATGTTTAGGTGATAGATCCCAACACCTATACATACAAGTGTGAGTGCAGCACTTACCCCTCAAATAGTCAGGGGATTATTGCCATTTATTTATAAAATAAAAATAAAAAAGGAAATACAAATAGTGCAATATTATTTAAACCAGTAAATTAAATATATCAGGTGAGTTTGTGTAAAACTCACATTTGACAGAGCTTTTTAGAGATATAGGCTCTAAACAGAAGCACATCTGGGCCTACTACCTTCTTCTGAGGAAAACACTTCAAGATACTTCTCCACAGTGAATATATTTAAATAAAAAGGAAAAACATTCTGGATACAATCTGTATAATAGGTAAGTATGTAGATATATATGAATTTGTGCTCACCTTACGTTGAGCCTGTTAGATAACTGGCTCCAAAATTTCAGCTTAGTGTCTGTTACGGCACTCCCAGGCATAAAAGGGGTTAAACCGCCATTTAGAAGATCTTCCCCTTTCAGAGACACAGGCACAGCTACCGCAGAACCCCAAACTCCCAAACAGGATACAAAGTAGCACTCCAAACTCCCGAACTGGAACCTCACGAATAGCTGCTAGCAGCTGAACAGGAAAAGCACCCAAGTAGCTTACACTCCTGGCAATCAGTCTCTAACAGCATACAGTAAATCCACCCAAGAACGAGACAAAGCTCCGTGTTGAGGGTCAAGCAGTGAACAGACAGAGCTGTGTCTTTATTGGCCTTATATACACATTTTACAGACAAAGTCCCACCCACAGGGTTTTGTGGAACATCCAATCAAAACACACAACACAGATAAACACTCCCACAATGACATCACAATTCCTCCTCTCTATCCTGAAGATAATTGGGAAATAATCCAATTATCTCCAAGGACAGAGGCAAAACTACATTAAGCACATGGCGGTAAAAAGACAGTACAATACAATAAAATACACAAGGTTACATTTGTTACATAAAATACATGCAACATATCCCCAGATAGCTTAGGTCTGAGCGCACACCCAGTACTGTCAATTAAGCTGTGGTTAACCAGAAATTGTGGGGCCCCTAACTCAGCTCACGGTCTGGGCCCCCTGGGACCCCCCTCCAAATACTGCCCACTGGGTCCGCCTCCAAATACCGCCCACAAGAATACACACACAGACACAAACACACACACTGATACAAAAGGACACAGATACATACTAACAGACACACATACTGTAACAGACATACACGCATACAGGCATACATACTGACACACACATACTGAGACATACACACAGGCATACATAGTGACAGACAGACACATACTAACATACATACAGACACACATGCATGAGGACATAAAGACACATACATACATACAGACAGCGACATACATACATACACACACACATACATACATACAGACATACTGACAGACATACAGACACTGACATCCATACACACATACATTCATAATGGCATACAGACATACATTCATAATGGCATACATACATACATACATACATACAGACTGACATACATGCATATATACAGAAATACTGACAGACATACATGCATACAGACATCCATACACACAGACATACGTTCATAATGATATGCAGACATACATTCATACTGACATATAGACATACAGACAGACATACAGACAGATATGGACATACATGAATGCATACATACATACATAGACATACATACAGACAGGCATACATACATAGACATACATGCATACAGTCAAACAGACAGACAGACATACACACAGACAGACATACATACATACAGACATACAGACACCGACATACATACATACAGACAGACAGACAGACATACAGACACAGACAGACATACATACAGACACAGACATACAGACATACATACAGACATACAGACAGACATACAGACAGACATACAGACACAGACATACATACAGACAAACAGACAGACCTACAGACATACACACAGACAAACAGACACACACACACAGCTCATTTTCCAGCCACCCTCCTGTCTCTTACCTTTTCTTTTGGAGGATGGCTGGGGATGATGGGAGTAGTTGGCATGGCTCTCCCTCTTCTCTGGCGCGCGCGCTCCTCCCGCGCGGAGTGAGCTGGGAGGAAGTGACTTGCGGCTGCTTTTTTTTTTTAATAGGGGCCCGGTCGCGCTATACGACGGCCACAGTGCTGACCCCAGGGCCGCCGGGCCCGTGACAACCGTTATGGTTGTCACCCCCTGATGGCGGCCCTGACCACAGCTACTGGGTGGTCAATTGACTTCACACACTCGTTAAGCCGCGGCTAAGCTTCTGGGCGGTCAATTGGCGGCGCTCGCCAGCTTCTAGGCGGCCAATTAACGCCGTCTGCCAGCTAACCGCTGCTCCTGGGAGGCCAATAGACGGCTGTTTGTTCGGTAGATAGAATCTACCGAACGCCCATTCAGAAATACATGAATATACCTTTCTGCATAGGAAAATAAAGTATTTAAATGCTGGTCCATAGTCAAAAGACAGCAGGCAGGCAACCAGGCTCCTCCAATGCACAGTGGCGATATTGGTCTCGTCACGGTGTCAGTCTCAGGGTGACACTTCCCTGCAGAACCAGAATACTTGCTGTTGTGCCTAATCATTAAATTCATGAAGCACCAATATAAAAAGCAATAATCAATTACCCTAAGGTCTTCAAAGATATTGGCGGGCACCAAAACCCTATTCGGGATGAGTGAACTGAGTATTTGAGAAAGAGAAAGATACTCACCAAGTACTTGTATATAATCAATATAAACTTTATTGACTAACAGAGACTTAATTAATAATGAAAAGAAAGCCAGTGACCCCTAGGGGAACTAGCTTGACGTGTGTCGGGGACAACCTTACAGGTGGTAACCCTCACAAACGTGTGTGCTTTGAAAAAAAGAAAAAAGACCCCAAGAGGTGAAACACCCCAGGAGTCAAAAAATAGGAAGTCCCTTTAAATGCTACATATGTGTTAAAACATAACTTTTATTAGTCACTATATATTAAAATGCCAATGCTTATAACTGTGAATCTCGTGACATAAACAAAAGATTAGAAAAACATGCAGACAGGCTAATAAATAAATGAATAAAATAACTGTTGTATTGGATAGATGCCCCCAGTGGTATAGTCACTGAATAGAACCAATGACACCATAAGGGAATTGTTCTTATCCTGTGAAAACGTGCCGTAACTTACGATGGAAGAGGCAGCCAGTGTATGCTGAGAACTTTCCTCCTGGATAAGTAAAGGGATAGGTCTACAGTCACCCACATTCATGCACTTCAATACTATGTGCCTAAGTTGCATCTACTGTACATCCCTACTAGGCTGTAATATCAGTGTATAGCAAGAGATAAATGAAATGAAATAAAATGAAATGAACCACTTGTCTAGTGGTAGATTGTAACCATTAATAACATGTAACAAATCATCCCCTGGCGAAAATGAGTCCCTCATGCACTAGTTACATGTTATGAGGTAAATGATACAATCTTACAACTTCCCTCAATTAAATTAGTCTCAAGGGATAGTGATTTCCTTCTATACAGACAAGAGATTACCGTATTTATCGGCGTATAAGACGCACTTTTTCTCCCTGAAAATAGGGGGCAAATTATGGGTGCGTGTTATACGCCGGCCCTTTAAATGCTGCATCCGCCTGAGCGCTCTGTCAAGAGCGGTCAGGCGGCTGCAGTTGGTTCTCACCTCCCCTCCCCTGTAGCGTGGCCGAGCTGCTCTGCTGTCCGCGGTGGCCGGCCGGAGTGATAGGAAGGTGCACGCTCAGTTTCTGTTTCCTGTACCCGGTCGGACTGACAGGAAAGTGCACACTGAGCGTGCACCTTCCTATCACTCCGGCCGGCCACCGCGGACAGCAGAGCAGCTCGGCCGCGCTACAGGGGAGGGGGTAAAAAGAGAGTGGGTGGGAGTAAGAAGAGGGGGGGAGTAAGAAGAGGGGGGGGGGTAAGAAGGGGGTAAATAGAGGGGAGGGGGTAAGAAGAGGGAGGGGGGGAGTAAGAAGGGGTAAGAAGAGGGGGAGGGAGAGAGGGTAAGAAAGGGGTAAGAAGAGGGAGGGGGGTAAGAAGGGGAAGAGGGGGGGAAGTAAGAAGAGGGGGAGGGGGGAGTAAGAAAGGGGGGTAAGAAGATGGGGAGGGGGAGTAAGAAGGGGGTAAGAAGTTCTTTATTTAAAATTTAAGGGTTTTTTTCCTGAAATTTCCTTCTTAAAATTAGGTGCGTGTTATACGCCGATAAATACGGTAAATCCCAAATACTACCTAGTAGGTAAAGCTATGTCCAAGGAGACGCTCGGTGGTGAGGATGCTGGCCCTATATTAGATCCATAGTGCCAGATAGCCCCAAATCCAAGCCTCCCACCATGTCCCCCGACCAATAATTAGCTTCTACGGCTGAAGTAAAAAATAAATAATAAACAATAACGCCTGTTTAATAAAGCTGCCTGATGCGCGTTTTGGCGCTGCTAAAGCGCCTTCATCTGAGACAAAATAATAATTAATAAGTGACAATATTGAATCTATAGTGCACATTCAGCTTAAAGGACCACTATAGTGCCAGGAAAACAAATTTGATTTGCTCAATAGTGATCAATCATTCTTAATAAATATCGAATATTATTGTCACACTTGCTCAAAGAGATGAGGACAACTTTACAATGGTAAAGAGATTTATTGTGGATAAAACCAAAATAAAACAAGTATTAAAAAAAAAACCAACAATTAACCCCTTCCCGACCGAAGACGTACCAGGTACGTCTGACAAAAAACGGCTATTTTGAGCACTGGAAGCTATCGTGATCACTTCCAGCCACTTTTATGGTATTACATGATGCCTTGATATCGAGGAATCGTGGAATACCCCCCTACACTGCCGGGGACCCCCCCCCCCCGGGAGCGATCACTTCCGGGTTTGCCGCATGTGGTGCCCGGCAGTGTAGGGAAGAGCATCTGAAGCCATAGGCAGGCTTCAGATGCTCTTGCCATTACTGAGAGCCTTGAGAGCCTTGCATGTCCTGACAAAAGCTTGAGGGGATCAAGCTGAAACGTTGACGGTACTGTTTTAATGGAGGTAATAAAAGTTATATTTTACAGTAGTCCTTGGAGTGCTATCTCTGGCAATATTTTTGTATTTTTGGCTGACAAGCACCAGGCATTCAATATTGAATTGGTGGAGTGCAAGATTTGTTTGATTTTTTATATATATATATAAATATATATATATATATATATATATATATATATATATATATATATATATATATATATACACACGCACATATTTTTTATATATATATATATATATATATATATATATATATATATATCCAAAAAAATACTGGCACTCAAGGAGTTTCCAAACATACATCTTCTTTTATTCCAAAAACGACATCAACGTTTCAGCTCCCCATGGAGCTTTCATCAGGACACCAACTACACAATACTGATAAAAGGCTTATATAAGAAACTGTTAATGAACAAGTACTTACATGTCCAGGTGATCCTCATTCACTCCCGCCGCTGAGCACGCCCCAGTCGCTTCCATGGGAGTATGTTTACTTCCGGGTATCAGCCCATGTGACCAAAGGAAATAAGGAGATAGAGATCCGATTGGCCAAGCGCACCACGTTCCTAGGCAACTAGAGACTCACATTTCTCCTTTGTTGCTTCCGCATTTACTGGTGCCATTGAGGGACAAATCTCTGTAATTTACTATACGTCCTTCTTTGTTGGGGCATTGTTATAGCAACCGGAACGCGGCCGAACGGACGAGACAGAAGAGGAGCACCTAGAAAGACACTGTATGGAGAGGAACAAAGCATAATCTGTTGCTTAAATAAAATAAATAAAGACACAATTTAACTGAATAATGATGCTAAGTGTGAGTGTAATATGTTTGAAAGTGAAACTCACAAACTGTAATTATGACTCTCACACTACTTATAAACAAAGTGTGAAGAGAGCTACTTCAGGCTCCAAGGAAGTCATTGGTAATGAAAGGCCTGTGTAAAACATATTAACATAATGTGAATAAGAAGTATTTTGTTTATGCCACAAGTTATGTGATGTAGGCTAGATGGTGTTTGTGATAAACAAGTAAAGGTGCATTTGTGCAATGAACAGTTTGTCTTTGTTAATGAATGTGAATGAGAAATATATTGTGTGTGCCACAAGCTATGTATTGTAGACTAGATGGTGTTTGTGACAAACAAGTTAAAGTGCATTAGTGCAATGAGCAGTATGACCTTAGTCATAAACAAATGTAACCATTTTACACTACACTACAAATGTACCATTTTACACTACAAGAGTTTTCATCCTAGGCATTTGAATAAGTCATTACCCTATTCACAGTTTCTGAGGGTGTTGCGTAATAACTCCCAAAGCCATCAGTGTAACCTGCAACTAGAAACCATGTACAACAGATTCCAAGCTAGAGGATATCCACACAATATACTCGATGAAGCTCTTAAGAGAGCTAGAACGGCTTATACTTTACCAGATTCTCGGGATGTGAAAGCAGCTAACACCAGATCCATCTTCCCGATGCAATATACTGCAAGTGTGGAACTGACTTCATCCATTCGTAATAATTGGAATATATTGGCATTGGACCCTACTCTCCCTGAGGATCTCCGCCAGAAACCTTTGTTTTGCTATTGACGTAACAGGAATCTGAGAGACATGTTGGTGAAAACAGATCCACAACATTGCTATGGATCTATTACAAGAGATAATAAAAATGTAGGATGTATAAGGTGTTTGGGATGTGTTACTTGTGGACGGAAGGTTTTGGTTTTTCTACGTCTGAAAATGGTATGCCATGATGGGGTTATTTCACATTCCTGGGCTACCATATCGTCTCAAAAGGCAACTAAGGTCCAGCAAACCAATCTGGCAAACTAGATCGGGCAAGCTCTATATTGACCCTGTAACTTTCCAAAACACCATAAAACCTGTACATGGGGGTATTGTTATACTTGGGAGACTTCATTTAACACAAATATGAGTGTTCTACATCAGTAAAATGTATTCCGATGATACAATAACCAGTAAAAGTGCAGTTTTTATGTAAAAAAATACAAAAAAAACTAAGAAAAATGCTAACTTTGTGACTAAGTGGCTAGTACAAAAGATCAGACATACCCCATTTTGAATACCCTGGGTTGTCTACTTTTACAAATGGTATGCCATGATGGGGTTAATTTTAATTTCTGGGCTGATATATGGTCTCAAAGGCAACATAGGCCAAGCAAACCAATCTGGCAAATTTCAATGTTCAAATATGAAAAGCCCTACATTTGACCCCTGTAAGTTTGCAAAAACCCATAAAACCTGTACATTGGGGGCACTGTTGTACTCAGGAGATGTTGCTGAATACATATTGGGGGTTTCTTTGTCAGTAACACATAAACAGAACTAAAAATCCATGCCTAAAGTACAATGTGAGAGAAAAATAATACAAAAAAATGACTTCCCAAATGTTTAACAGAGACTAGTGGTAGAATTAATGTTAAAATACCACCATTTGAAATACCCTAGGGTGTCTACTTTTCAAAAATATATGGTTTGATGGGGATAAATTATATTGTCCGGCTTCAAAAATGTGCCAAATATGATATGGGTGCATGATGACTGTGAAAATTCCCAGTTGGAAAATTGGAATGCGCACCCTCCAAATAAGGTCTTTTAGCCCCCAGAGAACCTGACACACCAATACATTGGTGGTATCGCTGTACTCAAGAGATGTTGCTGAACACATATTGAGGTGTTCTTTGGAAGTAACACCTAATAGGAGCTGATAATCCATGCCTAAATTAGAATGTGTGTGAAAAATAACACAACAAATTACTACCCAAATGTTTGACAGAAACTGGTGGTAGAATTAGTGCATGGAACGTGTTAAAATACCACCATTTGAACTACCCTAGGGTGTCTACTTTTCAAAAATATATGGTTTGATGGGGATAAATTATATTGTCTGGCTTCAAAAATGTGCCAAATATGATATGGGTGCATGATGACTGTGAAAATTCCCAGTTGGAAAATTGGAATGCGCACCCTCCAAATAAGGTCTTTTAGCCCCCAGAGAACCTGACACACCAATACATTGGTGGTATTGCTGTACTCAAGAGATGTTGCTGAACACATATTGGGGTGTTCTTTGGAAGTAACACCTAATAGGAGCTGATAATCCATGCCTAAATTAGAATGTGTGTGAAAAATAACACAAAAAATTACTACCCAAATGTTTGACAGAGACTGGTGGTAGAATTAGTGCATGGAACGTGTTAAAATACCACCATTTGAAATACTCTAGGGTGTCTACTTTTCAAAAATATATGGTTTGATGGGGTAAATTATATTGTCCGGCTTCAAAAATGTCCCAAATGGGACATGGGTGCATGACGACTTACTGTGAAAATTCCTAGTTGGAAAACTGGAATGCGCACCCTTCAAATAAGGTATTTTAGCCCCCAGAGAGCCTGACACATCTATACATGGGTGGTATCCCTGTACTCAGGAGATGATGCTGAACACATATTGGGATGTTCTTTGACAGTAATCCTTAAAGTTCTCAGTACATATATTCTTAAATTGCATCTCAAAAAAATCACCAATTATTATTATTTTTTTTTATTTGGCATTGATTGGTGGTAAAATGGCTACATGAAAAGATTTAAAATACCCCAGGTTTAATACCTTAGGTTGTCTTCTTTTAAAAAATATATACATGTGAAGGGTTATTCCTGACAGATATCAGTGTTACAATGTAACTTGCATTAATTTTTAAAAAATTGGATTGGAAATAGCAAAGTGCTACTCGTGCTTATATCCCTATAACTTTCCAAAAAAAGCTAAGAACATTGGGCATTTCTAAACTCAGGACAAAATTTTGAAACTATTTAGCATGGGTGCTTTTTGGCAGTTGTAGATTCTTAACAGATTTTGGGGGTTAAAGTTTGAAAAAGTGTGTTTTTTTTCAATTTGTTCATCATATTTTATAATTTTTTTATAGTAAATAATATGATATGATGAAAATAATGGTATCTTTAGAAAGACCATTTAATGGTGAGAAAAACTGTATATAATATGTGTGGGTACAGTAAATGAGTAAGAGGAAAATTACAGCTAAACACAAACACTGCAGAAATGAAAAAACAGCCCTGGTCCCAACGGTAAGAATTTTGAAAAACGGCCTGGTCACTAAGGTGTTAACTAAATATATATCAAGGCAAAAGGTTTCCTCCTGTGTTAAATCCAAGGTGTGTTTTGCTGAAATGGGCTTTTACAATTGGTGTAAAATCGTCTTCCCAGTTCCTATATGTAAATGACCAAATTCTCCTCCATTTGTGTTCAGGCTCCAATCGGCATTCAACAATTTCAGGTGTCCTTTATTTGGGGCACGGTCTGGATCCATCCATCTTATTGATCGTCAACCAGAAGAGAATGAATTGGCATTAAAAGCACATCTCTAAAATGAGAACTGCATGACATTCAATGTGAATTAAAAGTGAAGTCTATATTGAAGCTGATTGTAGCTGAACTAAAAGCATAGCTGATTGGGATAATTGTTTTCTGTTCAGCTATTTTGACCTTAAATTTAAAATTAACGTTGAATTCACTTTAATTTCTCAACTTTCATGAATAGAAACTAAAATGCATAATGTAGAAGTTTCATTCAGTGTGTGTGTATGTTTTCTTGTCTTTCATTAGTTAATTTGGCACTGTGTCATGCTGAACTAACCTTTCTCCTCTTGTTTCCTCTTCTCTTCCCCTCTCCAAATTTGTTCTTCTTTTCTTCCTTTCTGATCTAGTTTTCTTTAAGACATAAGATAAAGTAGGGACTACATTGTCTTATATATTTTATCTATGTCTGACATTCTCGGACACAAAGAGGAGCTTATGTCAGTTCTATTTTCTGTGTCAGGGAAGGGTTTCCTACAATGCTCACCCTCCTCCTTGATACAGGAAATGGAGCTGGCTTAAGCTCCTCCTATGGTCAAAGAAAGTCAAGCGGTGGAAAAATACATAAGACAAAGTAGTCCCTACTTTATCTGAGGTTTTAATGAAAACTAGATCAGAAATAAAGAAAGGAAGAACTGATTCTGAGAGAGAAAGAGAAGAGGAAACAATAGGAGAAAGGTAAGTCGAGCGTGACAGTACAGTTTTAAACTACATTATGAAAGTATTCTCCTGAGCATATTGTACATCTTAGTTGCAAGTTAGAGAATTCCTGATACAACATTCTCTTTTAAGGGTTAGGGCTGTCAGAAGCACAAACTCCATCCAAATGGTAACTTTCCTTTCAGAACCTAGTAGCCTATATTATAAGATTCCCTCTGTTCATACCTTTACTGACTTTATATGATCATAGGCTCAAGGGAGGTTATAAAGCTGGGCAACTGAACCATTGTGGTTATAAGAAGCATAATGCCCTAAATGCATGCTTTTGGAGATACAGAAGCAAGTATTCATATGTTTGCTTCTTTGCAAACTAACCTTTATAAGACAGGAGATTTGATTTTAGTCAGTTATTTATAGTAAATGTAATTGTGTTTAAGACAAGTTGTTGTTTATGTCTACACTAACTGTGGCTGTACACGTAAGCCAAATGTGAAGAAAAGCTTTAAAAGATTTAAAATAAATGTAATTATTATGTAATGCGTTTTCATTTTCCAACATGTTACTAAAAGCTACAAAATAAAGCAGAGATGTACATATCCTAAGGCATGAATGCAGAGGAATACTTAATGAAAATAGCATATTGATAAAGAAAGCAGCAGACAAAAAAATACCACCTGCTTAAATTCAACTATAAAAATGTTTTAAAAGATAAAAAAAAGAAAAACGCTGAGTTCCTGGGGCTAATCAAGATCCTGAATAAAATAGAGCCACTAGGGAAATGTTGTGCTTTCTGAATGACATTTTGCAGGAGTTTGTGTTCTTAGTGTTGTGCAGTGTCGCAAAAGATTACAGAAACTAAAAGAATTGTTAAACACTGAGTGCTCCTGTTTGCACAAAAATGCCTTTTGTATCTTATGTAGCAATCAAAGCTAATAAATCTCTTAGAAAAATCACATGCAAAGGTATAGGCATCAGAAGATATTAGTAAAATGCAGTATTCTGAGTATACAGAGTGTTAGTGCTAAAAGACTGCTCCAGGGATGGGTGACTACAGCGCCAAGGTGGAAAACAAAGCACAGTTGACATGGATTAAAAGATGGCTCTTTTAAACCACCAGGGGAGGGTCAGCTACATTTTATCTGGGTGCAACAGTAAAAAATAAATAAAATAAAAAATTCTAATTTGAGACTAAATCCAGAAAATCGATTCCCTATTATGCTGAAAGCTTTAAACTAATACTGTAAGTATGAGAATACATAATAAAAGAATACAGTTACATCATTTTGGTTAGAATTATACTTGAAGGAACATTCTGTATGTTCTGTGTCACGGGAGTCGTACCCCAACACGCAGGAAAGAGGAAACCTCAAAAAGGTGGATCTGAAAGACGGATTACTGAGCCTTAGAATGGCCAGACTTAACATATTAATACAACAAGAAACAGGGTCAAGATAAATCAAGGTCAGGATTACAGAGATACTCAGAGTCAAGACAAAGCCGGGTCTGGATACAAGAAATCACAAGTCAAATACAAA